AGTAACAATCATTAATTAAACCGCTACCTGTTCTGAACAGAGGAAGCAGACAGCGCGATGCCATTCTAGCACGACCGATAGACTTTCAAGGCAACGACATGGAGGGTGGTAACTCACCATCAGAAATTGAAATATCCTGTCATTAAGAGGGAAGGAGGAGGATCTAACTGATAAGGCTACAAGGTAACGACTAGATGTAGTCTGACTCTCGTCAACGAAGCTTCAAAGCTCTAGAATTCTAAACCTTCGAAGCCCGAAGCAATTCTAAACTCAGGTGATGATTTGATAAATTAATCGCTGAATGTAGTTTTAAATGACACTGAAAGCGGTCATAAGAAGCGATTCAAGTATTAAATGCGCAGAAGTATTCCTGCGTTGCTTTACTGAAACAGTGAATATATTGAAATCATCTTTCACATCAAATACGAATCACATGAAGTTTGTAGAAATAAATATGGCCTTGAATTCTCTCTAGGTCATAAATACGTTTAATTTGGACTTGATCAGACTGATTGCACAGCTAGGAAGATTCGTGCAGATCTAGTCACAACTATATCATGTACGATACCATACCATTAACTGCTGTTTTGTCTAATTCACAGTTCAATCAGCGATAGAACATTATTTAATCTTGTGATAGCATTACCTTTTTCTGGAATATACCACATTAATGAGAAAAATTATGCTCAGACAAATTTAAATAATTTCATTTCAAACACTTGCATACTGTTACGGACTTTTGCTCTTTCAATGCTGTTGAATGAGTTTTACATCATTTTATCGGCTAGAGCAAACCCTGCTTATCACCATCGACAACTGTAACCGGCACTTCTCATTTTCATTCGAATAACAACGGGAGTATGGATTCTTCAGTCGAAGAATATCAATAAGCGCTTAAAGCCGAACTTCACTAAAGGCCTTATAGGCATTCACGGAGAAAAAATAACAGTCCTATGACACTGGGATGTCCAAGAAATGTGAAGTCTGACAAATTACTCTCATAACTAGTGCACGCAAAATGTCATTCCTACGCACTGAGGATTACATATCTGATTACTACATATCTGGTCTTGAGTCTTATGCAACCAACTACTGAACAAGTTGATTTCACTCCCTCTTCCAGTCGAAAGTGAAATAAACCTCATTGATATTCTCCTTAGGATAGGTAAAATGAAAAAAAAATAGTTTGGCAATGCCTTGAACCGTTCATGGCTTGTTCCCGCACGGCATTTCGACCTGTCAGCGGCTAACCCATACATCATGATCATGTTAAATGGCTATCATGAGGTAGGCTTTCATGAGAGATACTTCATCTGCTACGACTCTTCACGAGAAACTGGCTGACAGCTGTCGTACCGAAAGGCACGGGAATGAAACTGGCTGATGATGGCAGGACCGAATGTGGTCAAGTAAGACCAATGGAAATGTGCAGATTTTATGCCCCTGATTACAACCTACAAAAAAGGTTGTCTTGTAGGGAGCTTGTCGGAAGAAACCGTTCAAAGTATTAATTAAGGTACGAATGCTCACTGTTTCGTCATTAGACTTACTGTTAGCCAAGTCCGTAATGCAGAGAACTCGCAATCGAATGGTCGTGAGTTCCAAGGCTACGAAAAATGTACTTAGAACTAAATGGCTGTTTTACCTGAACAACAGCAGAACTATCATTTGTAGGTCCGGAAGTGGAAAAAGCGTCGGGTAAAATGCTGCTGAAGAGAGGAAAATCCGCGCGACAATACTGGCCATTCCAAGAACTGCTGAAAAGAATAATTAATTAATTAAAGTATTCAGTAGATAACGCAAAAGAACAAAAAAATTCAAAAAAAAGTTCATAAACATACGAGGACAGATTTTTATTCATGGAATGTACTTTGAACAGCATCGCAGTGACTGCTGTACAGGCCAATGATGCAGAGTCCGTCTAATATTTTATCAAATATGTGATTAAGCCCATGAACGTTTGCACGAATTATTGCATGAATAACATAAATACTTCACCAGAACACAAATTGGCTAATCCGCATTCTAAGACATAAGATCAAAAACACATGCATTGTCGAGGTCATGAATTATAAACGAATGCATCGTTTGCACAGTTTAAAGTCGAATAATGTTCTACCTAATTAAACTTTTTAGTTACGAGTCATACTTACTACTGGGCAGGTCAGCTATCAAGTGGATCAAGGAACGCATGTAGTCGTAACGCATGTGCATCAGAAGACATGCCCAAAGCTTCATGGTCTAACAACAGTAACAACAGAATATCATTCCATTTCAGTTCTTTATATCGGATTGAAGCAGCATAAGCACCGTCCCCCAGTTTCTAGTGACCTAAAGGGCCATTTAAGTAGGCCATGCTTCATGGTATTTGAGCACCTGAAGTGCGTGCATGCATGCATGCAAAACCGCAACACTAGGCAGGGCCGAACAAGGAGCTGTTCGAACACATGCGATCATAGCACGAACCGTAGGCTCATTTATAGAGAAAAATAAAACCCGATCTTACGGGTTTACTAGCATACTGCTAGTTACTGATACCACCGCAAGGATATATAATCTTTTTCAGCATTTGAAACCGGACTGAAGCAGCGTAAGCACCTCAAAGGTGCTCAACTAGAGTGGAGTCGTGACCTACTTAAATATTCCCCTAAGCCACAAGAAGCAAGGGGATGGCGATTACGCTGCGTCAATCCGGAATCAAAAACTGAAAAGGATTATATATCTTTGCGGCGGTATCGATAACTAGTACCATGCTAGTAAATCCATAAGATCGGGTTTTATTTTTCTGTATAAGAATATCATTCCCTCTACTCTTTGCAGGCAATCGACTTGTTATTCGTAATTTTCAAAAAAAAACGCAAAATGATCAATATTTCATGTTCATCTTCCTTGACCGCTTCTTCTTTCAGGTTGTGGAGGCAGACGCAACAGACGATGTTTCCAACGTTCCCGATCTTGTGCCAGAGTCAGCTTCGGCAGAAGACAACTGGAGTATGGAGCAGACTCATTCCATATATTTCCACCTTTGAGGAGGCATTTGCAACACGTGCCCAAACTATCGCAGCTGTGGAATATTTCATCGAACTCCAAAAATGATTTTGTTAATACACAGGTCAGGAGAGGTCAGCAACGGATAGCCAGGCCAGTAGACCATTCGATCCTCATCAGGATTTTCTGTGTCAGCTGACACTATTCTGCCGTTCCAACGTATGTATGACCTTTTCTTCGAAAAACTGCGATTATTTTATTATTATTATATTTTGTCAGATTTCCATATTAAACTTTGCATATCAGATTAATTGTAAAAAACCGGGTTAAATCGCGTTATTGTACCGTCCACTTGTTCATACATATCAAAGGGGCAAACGTAGTTGATCATGGTCCAACGATATTTTAACACTTACATCGCGAACCACACTATTTGCTACAGCAATGCCTTGCTCATCATCAAAATTGTTTCAGAAGCCTGCACGCCTTATAAGCTCTACCATTAATAATTGGCCAAATTAAACTTTAACGCTGAATAGGTACTTCAGTTGTCACAGATAAATGCAGGCAAAAGAAAACTTGCTACTGTTACATTTAAGAACTACACATACTTCTTCGTCAAAATGCCATACTCCAAATCAGGGTACCGATAAATACTTATGATCCGCTGGCCATTTAATGGTCACACAATCAATCACTAGCCACCTCGTTGTTTACCATTTAAGGTCTTGCAACAGATGCATAAGAAAGAAACAAGTATAGAAAGGAAATGGAAAGTTTTTACAACATACACGGAAACACACAACGGAGGCGAGATTTCCGCTTAACTGCAGTTATAAAAAGCGTGTTTTCCTACCTATTAGCACCTGTAATGTAGAAACTCATAAACTTTCAATCTGGACAAATCAGAAATTATGCGCCTGTTCCGTTTTATATATAACGCGGTTAAATGCGAGGGTTCAACGACTTCGACTGATAATCAGCAAATATAAAAAAAATAAAAATTAAATTAAAGTAAATCCTCTTATGATGAAATAACGCTTCTGTTCCTAATGTGACAACGAAAATGAGAAAAGAGTGCATCCCGCAGTAGATAATCGTTCTCATTCAGAAGTCAGAATGCGGGTTTGACTACAAACGTAAATTTTCTTATTAGCTGCTAATTCCTCTGAGCAAGGAATTCACGCCACTATACTTCGGTGAAACCGAACAAGATACGAGTAACAAGTTGTGGACGACTTGCGAACTATAAAGACAGCATTCAGATTTGATTTCTACATTCCAAAGTTCGTGATCCTACCATCTGATATGTAAGTTTCATAGATGCAAATTGCCTTCACCGATATCACTGCCGGTTTAATCAGCAATCGTGATTAAAGTAGAACAAAATTAATTTCATCTCCCGGTAGAGGAAGGATATGATGCAACAGTATGAACAACGCTTTTAGCCATATTTTCCTGACATTAATAATGAAGTTTCGTGAAAGATATAACTGATTCCTATTTATTATGTCACTTATTAGTCACTGTTCGTTCGTCCTGC